ATCATTTTGTAATCCCTCCAACAGTGTACAAGGGTTCACCTCACTATGCCCAGCTAATTTCGTTATTTTTTGTAGCGACAAGGTCTTGCTGTGTTGCCCAGGCTGGTCTTGAGCTCCTGGGCTCAAGCGATCCTCCTGCCTCTGCCTCTTGCTATGCGTCCCGGAGTGCTGGGATTACAGCTGCACCTGGCTGTTATTGGCATCTTTTAATATGCTCTTTGTCCATTTGTTTATCATCTTTGGAGAAATATCTATTTTAGTCCATTGCTCATTTTTTAATCGGGTTACTTTTTTGTTGAGTTATTATAGGAGTCCTTTATATGAGGAGGACCCCAAAAAACCCAGAATTCCCTTTTTGAGGACAGGTCCCTTGTAGTATAGACTTTCTGCACCAGGTAAGTGTTCTAGGAACCCATCAGCATCAGTATACCAGCTAGTGTTGTTGTGAGAGGCTACATTCAGCTTTAGTGAATTTTTTTTTTTTTGGAGATTCTCTCAACATGTTTGCCCATTTGGGTGTTTTTGTAAATAACCTGCCCACAGAGTGCTGAGTGTTCTGCAGTTTTTGACCCAAAAAAATGGCATGACCCCTGTGTCCCACCCTCCCTATTCACCTGATCTTACCCTGAGCAACTTTATTACCTCAGATGAAAAAAAGTCCTCATGGAAACGTTTTGCTGCTGTGTAAGAGGTAAAACAAAAGAGGGCAGAAGCACTAAAAGACATCAAAATGAATGAGCTCAAAAACTTTTGAGCAGTGGAAAAGCATCTCAATTGGTGTATTGCATCAAATGGAGAGCACTTTGAAGATGGCTGAAGTTTAAACATGTAAGAGTAAATACACAAATTTTTTTTTTTGAGTTGGAGTCTCACTCTGTCGCCCATACTGGAGTGCAATGGCCGCTCCCAGCCACCGCAGCGTCAACCTGCTGGGCTCCGGCGATCCTTCTGGCTCGGCCTTCCAAGTAGCCTGAATTACAGGCATGCGCTACCACGCCCAGCTGATTTTTTGATTT